AGTTTCAGCTTTCTAGCTTTTCCCGTTCCTGGGTTAGTAATTTTCGCGCCAAAACTTTCACATGTAGCATACGCGGATCTCGGGCGCCTCCAAACAAATGATTTTTGTTGTACATGAGTAAGGAACATTCCCGTAAAATTTCAGCTTCCTAGCTTTTCCGTCCGCGGGTTAGTAATTCCCGCGCCAAAATTTCCATGTGCCCATACGTGGCCCCCGGCTGCTTCTAAACACCTGAATTTGGTTGTACATAAGTAGGAAACATTTCCCGAAAGTTTCAGCTTTCTAGGTTTTCCCGCTCCTGGATTAGTAATTTTCGCGCCAAAATTTCTTCGCGCTCGTACGTGGGCTCGGGCGCTTCTAAACACCTGATTTTGCTCGTACACAAGTAGGGAGCATTCCCGTGAAATTTCAGCTTTCCAGCTTTTTTCGTTCCCGGGCTAGTGATTTTCACGCCAAAATTTTCACATGCCGATACATGGGCTCGGGCGCTTCTAACCACCTGATTTTGCTCGTATATGAGTAGGGAACATTCCCTTAAAGTTTCAGATTTCTAGCTTTTCCCGTTCTCGGGTTAGTAATTTTCGCGCCAAAATTTCCACATGGTCGTATGTGGGCACAGGCGCTTCTAAATACCTGGTCTTGGTCGTACATGAGTAGGAAACATCCCCCGAAAGTTTCAACTTTCTAGCTTCTCCCGTTCCCGGGTTAGTAATTTTCGCGCCAAAATTTTTGTCTTGCAGCGCTAGAATGCTTCAACAGGTAGCAGAAGCGCATATTGCAACGGCCCTGCCAGTGTGTATGTGTATGTTCGTCTATCCGTGTACTTCAACTCGCCAATCACGGAGGCTTTGGAGTTGAAATTTTGCCGGTGTGTTCCTCAGCCAAGTACCACCTCAAGACCGCGGTATCAACTCTCACGCACGTCTGGGACGCACGTGAAGGTTTCGGCGGGAAAATTGCTAACTCGGGAACGAGGAAAACTAGAAAGCTGAAGCCTTAGGATAATGTTCCCTAACCGTGTATGACAAAAAGATTTCAAATTCAGTTGCCCAGGACTGCTCAGGGCCTGCGTATGGGCACGCGAAAAGATTATGGCGGGAAAATTCATAACTCGGGAGTGAGAAGAGCTAGAAAGTTGAAGATTTGGGAGAGTGTTCTATTCACTTACGAAAAAAATTTTTCAAACTCAGCTTCTTAGAACCGCCCGGGGCTCACGTACGGGCGCGTGAAAGTCTTGGCGGGAAAAGTGCCAACTCAGGAAAGAGAAAAGCCAGAAAGCTGAAATTTTAGGAAAATGTTCCCTACCCATGCCTGACTAAAAGATTTCATATTCAGTTGTCTAGGACTGCTCGGGACTAACGCACGAGCACGTGAAAATTTTGGCGGGAGAATCACTAACCCAGGTACGAGAAAAGCTAGGGAGCTGAAACTTTAAAGAACTGCTCCTCATTTATGTACGACCAAAAGATTTTAAATTTAGCCCCCTAGAACCGCCCGAGACTCACGTACGGCGCGTGAAAATTTTTGTGGAAAAATTGCCAACTCGGAAAAGATAAAAGCTGGAAAGCCTTAATTTTAAGGGGACATTCCCTGCTCATGGGCGACTAAAAGATTTCAAATTTAACTCTTCTAATAGGCCCTTTTTCGCGACCAACAACTTTCTATTTGTCGGGTCACTGAAGTCGACATCTACAACTGACATGCCGCATAGCTGCACAATTAACTTCCCAAACTTCGAGGGCCAGTATGTCACAAGGCTAGCTACTGCGATTCCTTGAGAAATTGCTACGACACGAAAAGTGCAAAAACGCATGATCGCACCGGCCCGCCTGGTGCGTTCCAGTCTGGGTTGGGACTTGATCTGTTTGCTATTTTGAAGATTTGCCTGCATCACTTAGATTTCGTCTGTTCCCCCCCAGGTTCAGGTCCTTAAACAAATAATCATTTAAATTGTGTTTTGTTGAGTTAAAAGTTTTCTTGAAATGGGAAAATAAAAAATATAAAGTGATTTTGTTCCCCCTGCATATTTTATCAGCTGCGTAACCCTCAAAATGTGATCATGGTCAAAAACTGCTTTCTGATATACGTTTATTCTCCGCTAGAATTTCTAATAAATGAGGGCACAATAATTTTGCACATATGCAATAAAAGTTGCTGAATGGTATCTGTATTTCCTCGCAGTGCTGTTTTTGCAGCATCAGCACTGTCTTGGGTCTTCCTATCCTGTTTATATCTTTATTGAACTGACGTACAAGATAAACAGTCCGATGTGGGCTTCCGTAATCTTTTTTTCAGCTGTTCGAATTTCTTTCACGCAAAGTTTGATCCAGTCCTGCTGTTTGTCTAGTTTTCACTGTATCTGCAACAGCTTAAACTTCACTGTGTTTCCTGCAATTCTGCTGGTTGCAGCAAATATAGAAAGTAATTAAAATAGAAGCAAATGTAGCAGCAACGTAAGAAAGTGATCTCGCGCAATAATTTTTGCGCGATTTTTTTTATTCTTATTTTTTTAGAGGGCACATATTTCCGGGTTAGGCAATTTCTGAATCTTCGAGGCAATAGCATATTTCACAGCAAAAGCCTTACATGTACAAGATCTTTTAGCTGCTTAAATTATACATATTCTAAATAGTTGGCGGACTTACACGAACATATTCATATATATTTTTCTGAATATGAGTTCGTTCGAAAAGACCTGTAAAAAGAGATACGGCAAAAAAGCCAGGAAGCTGGATTTTCTGGAACAGTCTGCCACAATATATGAAAACATGAATGACCAACTTTCTGTCTTTCTTGTGTACTCTCCTGAAAGCTTTAGTTTACGCTGATCTTGAAATCTGAAGCATAGCAAGCTTTTATTGCAAGGTTTTGATCTGCTACCTTTTCACTACCAAGTT